TAAATGGATGTGAATGGATAGAATAAATGGCTCACTGAGTGTTTCCTGCCAATTAAGAGAATAGAGTGGATATAAATACATGCAGGGGGTTCATTGAACCATATTCTCCTTCCAGTGGCATAAGGGGATATTTGAGGAACATTATTCAAGCCAAGTGGTTTTCATTGTCAATCAATATGTGTAAGCTTTAAGACTTCCACAACATGGGCTATGTTTTGCTAACAGTAGAAACCCGAGTCCTTCCTAGAGACCAGCTGGGTTTTGTGAAAGCAAATCAATCCTTGCTGTGGTGAGGTGCTTTTCTGATTTCAAATGCTTTAGCAGAAGCCTCTGACCCCTGGTAGAATAACCCCACTTCCTCTAGTAGAATTCCTCCACTGTCCTATTCCAACCCTTTCCTGCTCCAACACTTCCTTAACATGCAATCAGCAGAGCCTGGAGACAGCATGGCCTGGCCTTTGCTGATGGGGTGGTGTGCTGGACAGAGGAAGGTAGATGGCCCAGGCAGCGGTTTCTGATCCTTGTAGCCCTTGTTCCCAATATGTCACCTTAGGACCAACACCAGCACACACACTGCGGACATCCAGCAGAGGCAGGGTCCACTCACTGGTGATGACACTGTCTCAGACTTTGTCCAGCCTCCACTCCCGCAACATTCCAGAGTAGATAATGGAGACTGCTACAAGAAAAACAAGCTTATAAAAGAGAATGGCGGGAGCATTCTGTTGATGTACACTTTGAAATACAGTGTGCATATTTGAAGAGCCACATATTCTCCACCCTGTAGGCCACCAAGGTGGGAAGCCAAAGTCTCTAAAATTGACCTTCTGGAATCACAGCAAGGGGAGGGTTGAGCTTGTGAAATTTTCAACCCACATCAGCCCCCCAGAGGTTGGCCCGACCAAGAAAATGTGAGTGTCCACATCTGGGGGAGCAAAGCACCCTCTCCAGTCTGTGCAAGGATGGACTTGGTCTACGCTCGCCTTCTGAATGACGTAACTTTGGTTCTCTGAGCCCATCAGTCCCCCTTTGCTGACATTCTTCTTTTACATACTTCCATGCATTCATTTTCTCTCTCTCTCTCTCTCTCTCAATCCTGTGACCCTAGGAGGGCATTTGTGTCTTTTTATGAGCTTCCTGTCTCTTCTCCAACTCTTATCGTTGAATTAATAACCCTACTCACAGGAAACAAGCAAGCACCTCTATTTCCAAGTTCTCAGAGGACAGATGTCCAGCCATTCTCGGGATCCAGCACAGAAGTGAGTCCAGCTCGCCTTGCTCCAGTGCCTCCAACTGCTCTTATGATGCCTTCACTGATCAGGCAGCCAGGGAGTGCCCAGCAGGATGAAGGGTCCTTTGTGCTGCCCTTTCTGCAGAGGGAAGCCGGCTTTGACAAGACCCTACTCCCTTGAAAACCTCATCTTTTCTGCAGTATTGTAACACTGCCTTTTGTTGAAAAAGAAGATGAAATTACTCTTTAAGCAGAGCTGTCTGAGATACTGGATTCACTTCAACATACTTCTCATTACTTTTCCGACTGAGCGTTCTCTTCTGTGTATCTGCGAAGTCTGGACAAACCTACAGCAGGAGGTTTGAGAGGATTTCACACATCGCCTTAACTATTGAATCGTGACTTTACAAGTCATCATTCTTTGTTGCAAATTACAAAGAACCAGTTCACGCAGGCTTATGTAAAGAAGAGACTTTGTTGGTTGTGAGTTTGTCCAGCTTCAGGCATGGCTGGATCCAGAGCCTCCGGCAATGCCATCAGGTACTGCCTTTATCTCAGGTCTACTTCCTCTACAGTGACTTACCCGTGGAAAGCCTTGCTCCCTGTACGGCTTATCTCCTGACAACTCCAGAATCACATTCTACCAGCTCCACACATTCAGCACAAAGAAAGCTTCTCTGTAATAGTCTGACTAGGGTTACCAGCTTTTTAGCAAACATTTGAAACACATCCTTGATGATCCAAAATTCAATTTAACTGAGGTTGTCCCTGATTGACAACCTTAGGTCCCATATAGGTCCTAGGATTGAATCTGGGCAATTTGGATCCTACACCCATCCTAAACCCAATCACAGCGGTCAGCAGCAGGCCAAAGTCACCTGCCTATTCCCAGAGGGAGGGGAGTGTAGTCAGCCCCGTGGTCCACAGTGCATGTGGTAACCCACAGAACTAAAGACACGGATCGTAGAAGAAAGGGGACTGAACCCTGCAAAGGAAGAAACCAACAGACATTCACTAAGGTGACTTTAAAAGTCCCAGACAACAGCAGTGAAAACTGTAAAACTTCATGGTGGCTGGGCCAGGTGTGGTGGCTCACTCCTGTAATCCCGGCACTTTGGGAGGCCAAGATGGGTGGATCGCAAGGTCAAGAGATCGAGACCATCCTGACCAACATGGTGAAACCCCGTCTCTACTAAAAAAAACAAAAATTAGCTGGGTGTGGTGGCACACACCTGTAGTCTCAGCTACTGGGGAGGCTCAGGCAGGAGAATTGCTTGAACCTGGGAGGCAGAGGTTGCAGTGAGCCGAGATTGCACCACTGCACTCCAGCCTGGCAACAGAATGATACTGTCTCAAAAATAAAAACCACAAACAAGCAAACAAAAAAAACTCTCATGGTAGCTATATGACATTCAAGAGCTTAAAAGCACTTCCATGCCATTTTTTCCTTGTAGGTATTATAATCATTTCCTGTATTAATGTGCTAGGACTGCCCCAACAAAGTACCACGGACTAGGTGACTTAAACCACAGAAATTTATTTTCTCACAGTTCTGGAGGCTGGAAGTCCAAATCCAGGATGTCGGAGGGTTGGTTTCTCATGACGCCTCTCTCCTTGGCTTGTAGACGGCCATCTTCTCCCTGTATGTCCATGTGGTCTTCCCTCTGTAACTGTCCCCTCTTCATATCAGGACACTCGTCATATCGGATTAGGGCCCACCCTAATTACCTCATTTTAACTTAATCATCTCTATCAAGTCCCTGTCTCCAAATACAGTCCCATTTTGAGGCACTGGGAGTTAGGGCTTCAGCATATGAATTGAGGGTGTAGGGGAATGCAAGTCAGTCCCTAACACTCCTGCTTTCCTGTTTTTCTTTTATGTAAGTGTGACATGTAAAATTTTCAGAGCCGCAAAAGAAGTAGCCCTGGAATATAAATCTCCTCAGCAAGGCAATCTACTTCTATAGAAGGGTGCGGCTCACAGACGGAACAATGGAACACACACCTGGGCAAGGGAGGAGTAGCGGTTCTTATTCCTGATGGACGTCGTCCCTACTGCTATGTCATTCCCCTATTGGCTAGGGTTAGACCGCACAGTCTAAGCTAATTCAGATTGGCTATTTTAAAGAGAGCAGGGGTACAAGCCAGAGTGGTGGGGTGGGTAGTTTGGTGGGAAGGACGGTTCCGGGCAGGTGAGAGCATGTAACCAGGGATCAAAGCAGGTGACCAGAGCAGGTGACCCAGATGAGTCAGGAGAGAGCACGGGAGGGCAGGGAAACAGATGTGAACTACTGAGTAGAACTGGTGGAAAAGGTTTTTACTGAAACTACAAGGAAGTTAAACTTCGAAATGGAGAATTGAAGAATAAGAGAGCTGAGCATACTGACACACTGATTCTTGGAAGAGAAACTTGGAGTTCACCGTATCTAACATAAGGAAAAGGACAGCGAGGGTGGTCTTGGCTTGTTTCCAATCCCAGGGCTGATTCAGTGGTGGAATTCCACCCAGTGCTGGTCCCGCTGTCCCAGTCACACCTCTGCAAACACCGCATGCCCACCCCCTGCCAGCCACCAGGCTCCCCGCCTGGTCCCAGCACCAGGCACAGAGCAGACAACGTTCTTGAAATAAGTGTTTTGTGAAAAGAATGAAACTGAGAGGGAAAGAAAAAGAAACCCTAGACAGTTTTAGGAGGTTTCGCTCAAAGGAAAGGAGAACAGGCTCACAAGCTCCTGATTTGAAGCAATAAAGGCTCTTCAGAACAGCAGGAATGAGGCCTATGGATGTGTAAATGAGCCCCGGGGAAGAACTAAGCAGAAGGGCGAATCACAAAACAGGGAAAGACGAAAACAGACTGGGGAGAACAGTGAACATTTCAGTGTCTTCGGTTCATCAGAAATTCATGAGCGATTTTGGAAATTTTGTTGGTTTTAGTGGTGGGAGAGAATTGTAAATATGTACAATATGTAAATATCTTTTTATAATAAAAGCCCATGAAGATAAATGAGGCTGTCTGCGGAAAAGCTGTGAGCCGTATAAGAAATTACCATAATGCTTACAGGGATTTGAAAGTTCCTGAGCTAGTAAGGAAATGCATGAATACTAAACAGCACACACACACACACACACACACACACACGCACACGCACACGCACACACACACACAGTCTCTATTTAAAAACAATTTATTATTATTATTATTATTATTATTGAGACAGAGTCTCACTCGGTCGCCCAGGCTGCAGTGGAGTGGCACAATCTGGGTTCACTGCAACTTCCGCCTCCCGGGTTCAAGCGATTCTCCTGCCTCAGCCTCCCCAGTAGCCGGGATTACAGGCTCCTGCCACCACGCCCGGCTAATTTTGTGTGTGTTTTTAGTAGAGACGGGGTTTCGCCACATTGGCCACGCTGGTCTCGAACTCCTGACCTCAGGTGATCCGCCCCTGTCGGGGTGGGATTACAGGCGTGAGCCTGTGCGCCGGCCCCTTCTTTCCTTCTTTTCTTTCTCTCTTTTTTTCTTCCTATCTCCCTGTCCTCCCTCCCGCCTGCCCTCCTTTTTTCCTTTTCTTTTTCTTTTTTTTTTTTTTTTTCTTCTTTAAAGACGACGAAGGTGGCTTTAGTGAAAACAGGCTTTGGAGTTGAACCTGTGTGGGTTCCAATGCCCCTTCCGTCCTCCGCCGAGAGCCGCGCGACCTCGGGCGGGCCCCGCGCTCCCAGCGGGACGCGCTGTCCCACCCGCGAAACGCCGAGCGCGCCGCCCAGCCCTCGCGGCCTTCGGGGCGGGCTGACTGGGGCTGCGAGTCCGGCTCCGGCCACGCCCCTCGCCTCCGTCCCCGCGCGGACCGCCGCCCCCGCAGCGCCCCCTGGGGGCCGAGGCCGGGGCGGGGTCTCGCGCCCTCGGCGGAAGGAAGGGGCCGGCCGGGACGAGGCAGGACTCGCCGTTAGGCCCCGCGCTCCCCGAGCCATGGCGCCGGCTCTGTGGCGGGCCTCCAACGGGCTCATGGCCGCCTTCTTCGCGCTGGCGGCCTTCGTGCAGGTCAGGCGGCCGCGGTGTCGTGGGGGGAAGACCCGCTGGGCTCCCAGCTTCACCCCTGGCCTGGCGGGCGGTGTAGACCGGCGAGCCGGCAGAGTCGCAGGGGCGCTCTCTTTATGGGTAGGACGGGACTTGGGTTTCTGCTTGGGGAACCCCCAGCCTCTTCAGCGTCTAAGAAACGCGGTGTGTTCCTGGAAGCGAGTCACACCCCGGGATCCGGCCTGGCAAGCGCCTCCCGAGCTCACACCCTGCAAAGGGCTAGTTCAGCGCGTGGAAGTGCCCGGGGGACCTCACACCTGGGCAGCGGCCCTGACACCTGCCTTAACGTCCAGCCCGGGGAGGCACAGAACACATCTCAGGGCCTAGGAGACGAAGCAGGACAAAAACCCTTCAAGTCGCCTTGGGGACCCTCTTCATAATAATTTCCCTCATTTCTTGAGGCTGGTGGGGGTGGGGGGTGGAGGGCCCTTAAAATACCCATTCTGGGTTTGAAGAGTCCTCTCCAGAGCTCCTGTGCAGGCTTTTCAAAAACATGAGGCTGCCTGTTAAAAACATCTGTTGTGTCAGCCAGAAAGAAACCCCTTCACCCATCCTCGTCTACTGGACTATGTCCTGTTCAGATTTCGTATCCGCCGTGCCTATTGCACTGTCTGGCACTTAAAACATTAATTTTTTTAAAAAGTACTTAACAAATGAATTTAAAAGGAATGGAACAGGACAGCAGGATGTCTGCTAACACCTTGGTGTTCTGGCATTCCAGGTAAATGACCCAGATGCAGAGCTGTGGGTGGTAAGTATGAGCCTCTTCCAGGCTTTCCTCCATTTGGAAGAATTGGGGAATGGCACAAAACACAGGGTTTTATGTCTTTACCTCTGCTCCCTGCTTAATTTTCTTCGAAACTTAAAAATTAAACCCTTGGTTAAACTCTTTTTCCTAAAATATCAGTATGCAGGATCAGAGTTCTAATGTCATGTGTGTGTCAATATCGGACTTTCTGGAAACAGGTCTTTCTGCAGTAATCCCTTTGGGTAGATGGCTCAACTGAGGACACTTTCTTTAGGACCTAGAGTAGGGAAGACCAGTTGAACCGTTTCTTATTAGTTTCTAGCCAGAAACTCAATGCAAACGTTTGACCAGGAAATAGCACGCTTAAGTTCTGTGGTTCTGCTAATTCAGTTACTTATATTTATAGAAAGTATTAACTCCTGGTTGGGCAAGGTGGCTCACACCTGTAATCTCAGCACACTGGGAAGCCAAGGCAGGCAGATCACTTGAGGTCAGGAGTTTGAGACCAGCCTGGGCAACATGGTGAAACCCCATCTTCACCAAGAAATAACAAAAATTAGCCAGGTGTGGTGGCATGCGCCCCAGTCACTCGGGAGGCTGAGGCAGGAGAATTGCTTGAACCCAGAGGCAGAGGTTGCAGTGAGCCAAGATTGTGCCACTGCACTCCAGCCTGGGCGACAAAGTGAGACTCCATCTCAAAAAAAAAAAAAAAAAGAGAGAGAAAAGAAATATTAAATCCTGCAAAACCTACAATCTGCATAAAAGCAGTGCTCTGATCTGAGCCACTTGCAGGAGGCGGACATTGTCCCATACATCTTCTAAGTATCTTTTATCTTCTAAAATATCTGAATTTTGCTCAATTTCTCTCAATATAGATACACAAGACTGTATAGTATCACTAAGGAGACTATTCTTAGGCTTTAGAATAAGATTGACAGAGAAGTAACAAGGATGACAGCATTTGGAATTACAACACCAAATTCTAACCAGGGATTACAGGCATGTGCCGCAACCCCCCCCCCCCTTTTTTTTTTAAGTGCAGTAAAACCACATTCTGATATTTCTTATCCAAATCACTATGCCTCTGAATCAAATCAAACTGCCTTTGCCCTGGCACCCTGGTCCTTATCTTGAATTCCAAATATTATTTCCCTGCAGACAAGTCTCGGACATCCAGCTTAATGATGAATTTCCAAAAAACTCCTGCCGTGTATATTCACCTTTATGTCACCCTGCTCCTCAAATATCCCGAAGGACCTACCTAGCATCTTTCCCTCCAAAATCTACTCCTTCTCCTGACTCACCCATTTTTGTTATCAGCAGAATCATTCTCTGAGTCGTCCTTGTCCAGAATCTCAGTCGTTGTTAACATTCCTGTGTTCCTTACCAGTGACTTGGAGATCCCCTCAAAAAACAAAATAAATTTGAGCTGGGCATGCATGGCCTGTAGTTCCAGTTACTCAGGAGGCTGAGGCAGGAGAATCACTTGAGCCCAGGAGTTCAAGGCCAGCCTGTGCAACATAACGAGACCCCCATCTCTAAAAAATTAGGTAATTAAACAATCGCCTGGTCGCAGTGCCTCATGCCTTTAATCCCAGCACTTTGGGAGGCAGAGGCGGGCAGATCACCTGAGGTCGGGAGTTCGAGACCAGCTTGACCAACATAGAGAAACTCCCTCTACTAAAAATATAAACTTAGCCAGGCGTGGTGGCACATTCCTGTAATCCCAGCTATTTGGGAGGCTGAGGCAGGAGAATCACTTGAACCTGGGAGGCAGAGGTTGTGGTCAGCCCAGATCATGCCATTGCACTCCAGCCTGAGCAACAAGAGTGAAATTCTATCTAAAAAAAAAAAAAAAAAAAAAAAAAAAAAAAAAATTTAAACAACCTAGGTCTAATTGCTTACCTATATAGTACCTGCACATTTTATCTTTCACTCCAGCCTGGGCAACAAGAGTGAAATTCTATCTCAAAAAAAAAAAAAAAAAATTAAACAATCTAGGTCCAATTGCTTACCTATATAGTACCTGTACATTTTGTTTTTCATTCATGCTCAGATGATATAATAGGAAGAACAGACCCCACGTCCCCGTACACATCCTCCCTCATTCATTCACAGTTCAGCCCTCCACTACCTCCCACATGGACCCCTGGAACCACTTCCCAACTCTTCTGTCTGCCTCTAATCTCTTCTGTTCCTAGAGCATCTCCTGTTTGTCACTTTCTGCTTCAAATGCTTTTGTCATATCCCAAGATCTCTAAGTTGAAACTCTCCAACTTGGATTCAAGGCCCACCACAGAATGGCCCCAACCCACCTTCCTGGCTTGGTCACGGAAGCCTAATCCAGCAATAACAGTTACTGTGCCTTGCCCTGGAATTCCTGTATACCATACTCTCCCCAAGCTTCAATAGCTATCGCAAATGCTGTCTCACCCAAAAAATCTCTCTGCCTTTCTCCTGTAGGCTCCAGCCATTCTTCCTTTGGACCTTTTCTGTTGTGCTAACACATTGGGCTTTGCATTAGAGTTGGCTGTGTGTGTGCTGGCTCCCACAAGGATAAGAATCATTCTTCCTTCTTCTTGGTAGTCTTCAAACAACCCCATTAGAGCATCCCTTATAGAAATCCTTCCTGTAGTGACTCTTGAATGAATGCAAGAATGAGTGGATGCACCAGTGAGCAACTATGAGGCCTTGGGGGCTGGCCCGAGTCATTTCTGTGTTCTCTGCTTCACCTTACTCATGGAGGATATTTGTATCAGAATGCATACGTCAGCAAATAATGGAAACTTGACCAGCATCAGTTTATTAAAATACAGAGTATCTCACTTAAGCAGTCCAGAGGTACCTGTTTAAGTCAACAGTGTCATCAAGAACCTGAGCTTTCTGCCTTTTTCTCTGCTATCCTTAATGATTCAGTGATATCTCCTCTTATGTTCACAGAATGGCTGTTGCAGCTCCAAACATCTCATCCCCAGAAAAGAGTATCCCAAGGAGGAAGAAGCAAGGCAGGAACAAAATAAGCTTTCCTTCTGGGCTTTTTCCTCTTCTGTCAGAGAGGAAAACGTTCCCAAGAAGCCCTTTGGCCAGGGCTGCTATTTAGTTTGTATATACCCGTATGGCATATTCTTAGGGTTCCATTCTGATTGGTCTGTTTCCATGCATGTTAACTGTCAAATGCTGTGAGTATCAGCCTTGACCCTAAAAGACTTCTCTTCCCATCTAACTGCTAAAACAGGACCACCCCTACCTTCAAGAAGTCCAGAGGTAGCTGAGAAAACAAAATGACTTTTTCAACTTTTTTAGTGGCAGGTGGACAAGGAGAGTGATATTAGGAATGACTGTCACAGTACTCAAGGACTACATGTTGAATTAAGCTAAATATTGTAAATGAATACTATGATATCCTTAGGTTTTTTTGTTTGTTTGTTTTGGTTTTTGAAATACAGTCTCACTCTGTCGCCAGGCTGGAGTGCAGTGTCGAGATCTCCGCTCACTGCAACCTCTGCCTTCCAGGTTTTTAAGGGATTCTTCAGCCTCGTCCTCCTGAGTAGCTGGGACTACAGGTGCGCACCACCATGCCCAGGTAATTTTTGTATTTTTAGTAGAGACGGCGTTGGCCAGGATGGCCTTAATCTCTTGACCTCATGATCTGCCTGCCTTGGCCTCCCAAAGTGCTGGGATTACAGGCATGAGCCACCGCATCTGTCCTACTTAGTTTTTTTTAATCCACCAACAAAAATGCAAAAGACCATTATAAGTGGGTTCTGCTGATTCCATTAATATTTGTACTGTGCATGGGTTTTTGAATTATTATTATTATTATTTCTTTGAGACGGACTTTCACTCTCGTTGCCCATGCTGGAGTGCAATGGTGTGATCTCAGGTCACTGCAACCTCTACCTCCCAGGTTCAAGTGATTCTCCTACCTCAGCCTTCTGAGTAGCTGGGATTATAGGTATGCACCACCACACCTGGCTGTACTGTACATTTTTTAACTTGTGTATTAGAAACAAACAATTATTTTCAGTCTCTCTGGCCTCAGATTTTTAAAATTTCATTCAAGATAGTGAAAAGCATTAACAGGATTAAAAGGATTAACAGGTCACAACTGCTTGGGAAACTATTATTTAAAAGATTGTTTTGTTCATGTTTACAATATGAAGACAATACAATACAAATACAATATAATATAATATGAAAAAAAGATTCTTTTGAGACAGGGTCTCACTCTGTCACCCAGGCTGGAGTACAGTGGTACAATCACAGCTTACTGCAGCCTTGACCTCCCAGGCTCAGGTGATCCTCCCCTCTCAGCGTCAGCCTCCTAAGTAACTGGGACTTTGCATGCACACCATCATGCATGACTAATTTTCTGTATTTTTTGTAGAGATGGAGTTTTGCCATGTTGCCTAGGCTGGTTTTGAACCTCTGGCTTGAAGCCATCCTCCTGTCTCAGCCTCCCAAAGTGCTGGGATTACAGGCATTAACTACCATGCTTGGCTTTTTCTTTTTATTATTATTTTTTGAGAAGCATTTCTTATAGAGAGCACAAATAAATATTGTATGATGCCTGTGTGTATGTTTGTATGCGTGTGTTTAACACTCTGTCTGTGGCTGTCGTGGTTTTTCACAGGGAGAAAACTAACTTCTTACTGCTCTAAGTGTGGTCCTTGGGTCAACAGTAACAGCAGCCCCTGAGAGCTAACAAAACTCAGAAACTTGTGCCCCCCTGACCTCCATCATCATAATTTACATTTTAATAAGATCCTCAGCGATGTATGTCCACCTGTGAGTGATTACCTGACATGGAAATGTCAATATGGGCCAATATTCCAATAACCATTAGAGACGGAATAGGAAAGATGAAAACAGAGTCTATAATCCAAACACTTCCTCTCCCCTGGGTCAAGATAGGCGTGTAGTAAAATCAGATCACTTAAATGTGCACCTCTGACAACTTCGAAATAAGCTAATGGCCTCTGACATAAGCCCCGAAAGCCACATCCTTCTTATAAACCCACCCTCCCTACTTGCTCCCAGCCAAACAACACATGCCCGCACAATGGTAAGTTTGGCTAGAGTCTGCTTGCTATTAGCGAGGCTTAGGAACAGGGTCTCGTTAGGGCCACTCTTCTCATTACCAGACAATTTATCAGCAGTTTCTAAAATGAAGAGCCTGACCTTATTACTGGGCACAGCTGATTGTGTATGCATTCTTAGAAAACTTTTCTGTGGTCTCACAGAGATGTGGTACTGGGCTGGATGGTCCACTGGGTCAAGCCCAGCAGGGCTGTCTAGCATCATGGCTGCTCCTGCCCTACTTTTCAAAGAACATTTTATTTTATGCAAGTGGGGAAAGGCCAATTTTTTTTTTTTTTTTTTTTTTTTTTTTTTAGTAAAAGGAGATTTAGTTGTTATGAAGAGAAACCCAGAGCATGTTAGAGTGTCTTAAGACCCAAACTCTGTGCTCAGTGCTAGAGGTTGAAGATGAATAAGTCTAGGCACAGTGGCTCACGCCTGTAATCCCAGCACTTTGGGAGGCTGAGACAGGTAGATCATGAGATTAGGAATTCGGAACCAGCCTGGCCAACATATTGAAACCCCATCTCTACTAAAAATACAAAATAATAATAATAATAATAACCAGGCATGGTGGTGCCTGTCTGTGATTCCAGCTACTTAGGAGACTGAGGCAGAAGAATCACTTGAATCCAAGAGGCGGAGGTTGCAGTGAGCCGAGATCAAGCCATTGCACTCTAGCTTGGGCAACAGTGTGAGACTCTGTCTCAAAAAAAAAAAAAAAAAAAAAAAAGATGGTGATGAATGAGCTTCTGGAATAGCCTATAGTCTAGGAGGAAGGTAGATAAAATTGCAGGCAGACATGGTAAGTGGCACAAAAGCAGAATCTGCCACTTTGTCCATCACCTAGAAGCAAATCATGGAGCACAGCAGCCACTGATCTCATCTTTCTTTACTTCCTACATATCTCTGAATATCTCATGTATTGGGCATACATCTTAACTCATGTAATTTTCTCTCTGTTTGCTAACAGGTGGTGTACACAATACCTGCAGTACTGACCCTGCTTGTTGGACTTAACCCTCAAGTCACAGGTATAAGCCTTTCTTTCTAAATGGAGCAAATTGGATTTCCTCATCATAATGCGGGTCTATCTGCCCAACTCCCAGGAGTAAAAGGGACCTGTCTAGGCCTTTCTTCTCATTTCTCATAATAAGAGGGGCTAAATCTAATCATCCTCACCCATCTTCAGGAAAACGTCAGAATGATCTGCTGTAAAACAGCATCTTTCATAGAAATGACAGGACAGATTCTTCACTTTCTTTAAAATAGCTTCTCCTAGTGGGGCTCGAATGTTCTCAGGGGTCTTAGAATAAAGACTAAGGAGTCTCACCATGGTGGGGAAAATTCTAGTTCCTAGATGCCTGGGCTTCTTGTATAGGCTCCTAGAACTCCATCTACATCTTTAAGGTACATCAGTTAGGGCTCCTTTAGATACAAACTAGAAAAAGAACTTAAATGTACCATGAGCTAAGAAGAAAAGTTGGTACAGCTGACTGAAAAGGTGAGTAGTGGTGCCGGCTTCAGGCTGGTGGACTGGGAACATCCCCTTCTCTCCATCTCTCAGTTCCACCATCTGTCATGCTCACTTCAGCCTTCGGCTCCACACAGTGGCCCTGCAGCCCCTCCCCATTCACATCTTCACGATACCACACCCCGTGGAATATAGCCTGTGTTTCTTCACTCTACCAAAGTCTCAAAATGCAGTTGCTGGCTTTGATTGGTTGTCTGTTTGTGCTGATCCAAATCACTGTGGCTGAGGAGATAACATGCATTGACTGACCTAGCCAAAGTCCAGTTGGCTGGGAAACGTGGACTGGGAGTGTTAGCATGGTGGATCCCCAAAGAAAATAAGAGTAATAGGGCCGGGCGCGGTGGCTCATGCTTGTAATCCCAGCACTTTGGGAAGCCGAGATGGGTGGATCACCTGAGGTTGGGATTTCGAGAACAACCTGGCCAACATGGTGAAACCCTGTCTCTACTAAAAATACAAAATTAGCCAGGCATGGTGGGGCATGTCTATAATTGCAGCTACTCGGGAGGTTGAGGCAGAATTCCTTGAACCTGGGAGGCAGAGTTTGCAGTGAGATCACGCCATTGCACTCTAGCCTGGGCAACAAGAACAAGACTCTGTCAAAAAAAAAAAAAAAAAAAGGAAAGAAAGAGAGGGAGGGAGGGAGAGAAGGCGAGGGGAGGGGAGGGGAGATAGGCGAGGCAGGTAGGCAGGAAAGAAAGAAAAGAAAGGAAAGAAAGAAAGAAAATAAAAGTAATCGTCAGAGGAAGGGGAGCTGCCGAGCAACCCAAACAAGAAGTGGCCATTGAAGTTTATAATTACTGCTATGACCTCTGTGTTGTCCTAAAAAAAGGGGGGGCAATGGGGTTAAGGGGTCTGAATGTCCTTCTGAAAGCCAACTATGCAAAACATACAAAAAGATCACTTTTCTGTGGGCTGTGATTCCATGATTAACATCAGAATGTCTATTTTTAGGTAATGCTATTTGGAAAAGCGTCTCTGCAATACACATGTTGTTTTGTACGGTGTGGGCCGTCGGCTTGGCCTACTACCTCATGCATCATACACAACAGAACATCTTACATGAGGAAGAAGGCAGGTGAGTGGGGGCTTTTGCCCTGTGGAGGGGTGTTGGGCATGCACGGGAATACATTCAAGCTTCTGTATAAGGCATGTGAGGTCGCGGCATGGAAAAATACTGAGGCACTTTATGTATGTTTTTTGTGCATGAGTCTATTAGATTTCATTATCAAGGCTACTAGCAGCCATGACATATTATATGATATTACCGTCAGGACGTTGGACTTTGGCCCCCTTGTCACTAGCAAGGGTATTACACAGTAATACTCAGTCCAGTATAATATGATGACTCTGTCAGCCTCTGATTCAGTTCTGGTTTAAGCCAGAATCTTATCTACAAGTATGATCATCCATCTCAGAGGTCAGTACTTGAAGTCAGCCTGTTAGACGTGCCCTGGTATATCTTTTATCATCTCCTTGTCATGATCACTTGCTCCTTTTTGTTTTTTTGTTTTTTGTTTTTTGAGATGGAGTCTCAAAACAACAGTGTGTACTACTGCCAGGCTGGAGTGCGGTGGCGTGATCTCGGCTCACTGAAACCTCCACCTCTTGGGTTCAAGTGATTCTCCTGCCTCAGCCTCCAAGTAGCTGGGACTACAGGCATGCACCACCATGCCTGGCTAATTTTTTTTTTTTTTTTTTTTTGTATTTTTAGTAGAGACAGGGTTTTACCATGTTGGCCAGGATGGTCCTGATCTCTTGACCTCGTGATCCACTCACCTTGGCATCCCAAAGTGCTGGGATTACAGGCGTGAGCCACTGTGCCTGGCCCACTTGCTCCTATTTTATCACCTCTTCCTCTGCTTCCTCCCACCCTTGTCTCCATGGGCTATGAACAGGTCCTTTCTTTTCTACCCCTACTGACACCTGCCAACAACAAAACTCATAGACCTGTAAGTTAAACATCACTAAAAAGGGATTCTTTGCTATAAGCACCAATCTTTAGAAAACTGGAGAGCCAATCTATAGGTTGGGTCTATAGCTGAGAACGTAGACCAGATGGACTGAATCATTTCCAGGGTGAAGCCCATGAGGTATAGTGAACTCAGGGTGGGCTTCTAGTGGTACTATGGCTGAAGTGATTGCTTTTTATTCTATGTAAAAGATATGTACTTGTAATACATACATCTAGAAGCATACACCCAACCCCAGATTATTAGTCTGATTTGTACTACAAGTCATTGCTCTCCCCTAAGAAGTGACCCAACCTCTTGCAGGATGTACACAGATTATGTATTGCTTTGAGCTCATTCTGCCTAATACTGAAGCCTCTTTAAAAATGTAAAAACACAGGAGGCTGAGGCAGGAGAATTGCCTGAACCCAGGAGGCGGAGGTTGCGGTGAGCCGAGATCACGCCATTGCACTCCAGCCTGGGTAACGAGTGAAACTCCGTCTCAAAAAAAAATAATGTAAAAACAGTGACTGATCAAATCTGGGATTTTCTTAGTTACACTGTTTCTTCCAGTGACCTGAAAAAAGTGATGTATCTGTGCTTTTTAAAAATATTCATTTTGGGGTGATCCACTTATAAATTGGGGCATAGTCGGGGATCTCATACCTGCCTTTTAAGATGAAATTTATTTTCATATATGGCTTTAAATTATCTGTAAAAAAGTAATTTATGAATCATGGTCAGACTTGAAAGTATGTCATAGATGCCATAGATCTTGAGGGAGAGTCACCCAGTCAGAATGCACTATCAGGTGGTCATGGAGACAATGTGATGATATGCATCTCACTTGTAGCCACTTCCAAAATCTGAAATGTATGCCATTTTATAGGGAGCTGTCTGGTCTGGTGATTATTACAGCGTGGATGATCCTGTGCTGCAGTTCCTCAAAGTAAGTATTCAACTCATTAGTTAAAATCACATCTTCAAGGCTGATAAAATCAGGTAGTAAGTGAACATACTGGCATGCAAGTAAAAATAGGAACCTTTTGGCCGGGCGTGGTGACTCACGCCTGTAATCCCAGCACTTTGGGAGGACAAGGCAGGCAGATCACGAGGTCAAGAGATTGACAACATCCTGGCCAACATGATGAAACCCTGTTTCTACTAAAAATACAAAAATTAGTCAGGCATGGTGGCACATGCCTGTAGTCCCAGCTACTTAGGAGGCCAAGGCAGGAAAATTACTTGAACGGAGGTGGAGGTTGCAGTGAGCTGAGATCACACCATTGCACTCCAACCTGGTGACAGAGCAAGACTCTGTCTCAAAAAAAAATAGAATCTTTTGAAAGAAATCTTCCCTTTTCTTAAGGGAAGCTAATAATAGTTTATTTAAAAGTTTCATGGTCACTGTTATCCACGAAAACTAGTTTTTTACATGGCCCATTGTAGTCACAGGCAGTTGTCAGCCTAAAGGGTGTTCTTCAGGGTGACGGAAAATGATCTCAGGAGAAAGCCTGGAGATTCAGGAAAGAATGAAGAGCAAAGACAATATGAATGTGTGTGTACACATCAATGAATGTTAACTAAACATACCTAGGATAAAAATACATGACAACAGTGACATAAAAACTGGAAAATAGTGAATGGAATTTAAGTTTTCTAAGGCTCTTTAATTGTGTGAGAAGAAGCGAAGAGTATCCATTTATATTAGACTTCGGTAAGTCCAGGATTCATGTTGTAATTATTAGAGCCACCACTAATCGCATTAAAATGAGTACTGAAGGCAGGAAAAGGGGAAGGGGGAACAGAAAAAAAAATGAGGACCAATAGGAAACATGTTAAGATACAGATTTAAACCCAGAGATATCAGAAATTACATTAAATGTAAAGATTTCAGTTAAGTGCCAAAGATTTTCAAAATATATGAAAAGATTTAAGACCCAACTTTAAACTGCTTACAAAAGATAACCCTTAACTATACTGATATAGAAAGATTTAAAGTCAAAAGATGAAAAAAATTTACAAACACCAGCCAAATGAAATCCAGTATTGCAATTTTAACAACAAAGTAGAATTTAAGGCAATTTAATTAGAGAAACAAAAATGTTTTATGAATATTTTTAATTTTAACTTTTTATTTTGAATTTTCAAATATATATAAAGGCAGAGATTAATATAGTGAATCAGATGTACTTATCACCCAGCTTCAACAGTTATCTAAACTTTATCCACGCCACACTGCAAACTATTTTTTTTTTTTTTTGAGACAGTCTTACTGTTCCCCAGGCTAGAGTGCAGTGGGGCTATCTCAGCTCACTGCAAACCTCCACTTCCTGGGTTCAAGTGATTCTCCTGCCTCAGCCTCCCAAGTAGCTGGGATTACAGGCATGTGCCACCACACCCGACTAATTTTTGTGTTTTTAGTAGAGGCGGGGTTTCACCATGTTGGCCAGGCCGGTCTTGAATTCCTGACCACAAGTGATCCACCCACTTCAGCCTCCCAAAGTCCTGGGATTACAGGCATGAGCCACCGTGCCTGGCTTGCTAAACTATTTTGAAATAAATTCCAGATATCATAGTTTCCTTTGTATATCAGAATGTATCTCTAAAAGATAAGCGCTTAAAAACTACTCTACCATTATCATACAAAAAATGAATAACTTCAGTATTGTGAGTTTTAAATGTTTGTCCTTCTGTGCCTTATATTTTCTGTAAACTGGTTGTTAGATCTAAAGACTTGATGAGATTCTGGCATTATTAATATTATTGATTACTTCATGTTAAGTAATGATGTTATGTATCCCCATCGTAATATACGTAACACCCAGCTGCTTATCTGTGATGTTAATAGTCTTTGATGAGTATTGCCTAAATCCATTAGTTGGTTTGGTTTGCAAAACTGTGATATTCTAATTATATCACTACTTGTTTATTAGCTAGAAAACGTCTATAAAGAGAAATGTCCGCCTGTTTATCCATTGGATACTCCAAGGTACAGATCATCAGAAGAAAATGAAAGGAAAAGAAGTTAATTCTCTCCCTTAGTACCCAGTTTCCTTTTTTTTTTTTTTCCTTTTCTTTTTTTTCAGACAGAGTCTCACTCTGTTGCTCAGGCTGGAGTGCAGTGGCATGATCTTGGCTCAATGCAACTGCAACCTCTGCCTCCCAGGTTCAAGCGATTCTCCTGCCTCAGCCTCCCAAGTAGCTGAGACTACAGGTGTACATTACCATGCCTACATAATTTTTGTGTTTCCTTTTTTTTTTTTTTTTTGGGACAGAGTCTTGCTCTGTTACCTAGGCTGGAGTGCAGTGGCCCGATCTCAGCTCACTGCAACCTCTGCCTCCCACTTTCAAGCAATTCTCCTGCCTCAGCCTCCTGAGTAGCCGGGACTACAGACGGAGGCCACCACTCCCAGGTAATTTTTGTATCTTTCACTAGAGACAGGATTTCACCATATTGGCCAGGCTGGTCTCAAACTCCTAACCTCAAGTGATCCACCCACCTTGGCCTCCCAAAGTGCTGGGATTACAGGCAATTTTTGTATTTTTAGTAGAGACATGGTTTCGCCATATTGTCCAGGCAGGTATCGAACTCTTGACCTCAGCTGATCCACCCACCTTAGCCTCCCAAAGTACCAGGATTACAGACATGAGCCATCGCACCCAGCCTAGTTACCAGTTTTTAAAACGTATTGTTTCTTACCTGGGCATTCTCCAAAGGTGACCAATGAGTCTTGTTTCTTTATTTTTGTTTAGTACCATTAAAAAGTCATGGATTTAAACATACTTTTTTTTCTTTTTTTTTTTTTTTTGAGACAGAGTCTCACTCTGTCACCCAGGCTGGAGTGGTATAGTGGCAGGATCTCGGATCACTGCAACCTCCGCTTCCCAAGTTCAAGCAATTCTCCTGCCTCCTGGGTAGCTGGGACTACAGACGGACACCAGCATGCCCAGCTAATTTTTGTATTTTTAGTAGAGACGGGGTTTCACCATGTTGTCCAGGCTGGTCTCGAACTACTGACCTCATGATCTGCCTACCTCAGCCTCCCAAAGTGCTGGGATTACAGGCGTGAGCCACTGCATCTGGCCAATTTAAACATATTTGATGTGTTTCAGTCCATGACAGTTATTGTCTTTATTGATGTTCACGCCATCCCATTTTTGGCCAGTAGCACTTACTCAGGTTGGCTCCTGAATTCTTTCTGACATGACCCTTGTATATCTTTGATAGCTTCCTTGCTTTCTGGTATGCAAGATGTTAAACCAGAAAGTACATGTTATGCCCAGGATCATGTTTTACACCACAGACCTGGAATCATCAGTGTTTGCAATGTTTATGTATTCATATATATGTCATAAAGGTATATGCATGCACAGATACATATATATGTACATGTATACATTTAAAGTTAAAAGTATCTTATGAGTTTATATATACTAACTACTCAAATTCAGAGGCACCAGTTCTTATTAACCTTATTGGACATTTTATATCTGTATCTCCTTTTAATCATGGCAAAATCTCTAGTCTCAGTGACCTCAACATAATCACCCATTTGATTTATTCTACAATGCAAACGCAATCTCAAAATAATAATATGACTAATGAAAACAGGTTCTTTTGTTTGCTTTTGTTTATTAGGGTATAACCTACTAAGGGATGTACACTCAAATTACTGGGCATAATTTTCTGTATGCTAATGCCACCAATTGAATACACAGGTTCATTTATTTCTAGGGATAACTGTATTGAAAATATACTGATATTTTATAATTATGTAAAATATCTGCATGGCTCGAAAGTCAAATCTATAAAATAAGATATATTAAAAGAAATCTATCCAGTAAAACCAGGTGGAAAGAGAAAGAAAAAAAAAAAGAAAGAAATGTAGCTTCTCCAGCCCCCTAACCTTGTATCTTCCCTTTCCCTATGGGGGAAACTTTTTTCAGTTTTATAGTTTATCCTTCCATGATTTTTCAGTGGAGCAAATGTGTGCAGTTAGTTCTATTCCTGCTTATCTTAGGTAACTGGCAGTGTGTTGTACACAGTTGTATGCCACTTGCTTTTCCACTTATATCCTGGAGATCATTCTATAGTACAGAAAAACTTTTCTTATTCTTCTGATAGCTCCATAGTTTAATCACCCAGTCCTCTGCTATGTAGATAGCAGACAGAGCACGACTCTGTCTCATCAGATAGTTAAGGCCAAGGCGGGTGGATCATGAGGTCAGGAGATTGAGACCCTCCTGGCCAACATGGTGAAACTGTCTCTACTAAAATACAAAAAAAAAAAAAAAAATAGCTGGGTGTCGTTGCGTGTGCCTGTAGTCCCTGCTACTCAGGAGGCTAGGCAGGGGAATCACTAGAACTGGGAGGCAGAGGTCACAGTGAGCCAAGATCATGCCACTGCACTCCAGCCTGGCAACAAAGCAAGACTCCATCTCAAAGAAAAAAACTTTCTATTTACTCCCAAATTCCCCTCCATTTGGCTCCTCCATTTTGCATTCCCACCAGCCATGGCTGAGTGTCTGTTTCCCCACGGCCTTGCCAACAGAGTATATTATCAAAATCTTGAATTTTTACTCATCGGATAGTTGAGAAAGAGGTAGTTTTAACTTATATTTCTCTTATTAAGAGCAAAAGTGAGTACATTTTCAAATGGTTAAGAGCCATTTGTATTTATTTTTCTATAAAAAAATCTTGGTCTATCTCTGAGCACTGTAGGTTTAACCTGATTCTAAGGTTGTTAGTCTTTTCTGTTTTTAGAAGCTCCATCTGTGATGTAAGCTGAAAAGATTTTTTTGCAGTTTGTTATTTTCCTTTAACTTTGCTTAGGCAAAGGCTTTGCCATGAAAATGTCTTTTTTTTTTTTTTATCTTTTTATTTTATATAATTTTACTTTTCAATTCTTTTCCTTAATTGCTTCTTAATTTGGAATCAGTTAGGAAAACCTTCTCTCTCTCAGGTTGTAAAGTAACTTACCTAAGTTTTCATCTAATACCTATATGGTTTCATTTGTACATTTAAATATTTGATCTGTTTAGAATTTACTCTGGTGTAATGGTGTGAAGAACAGGTCCAATTTTATATTAGAAAGTAGATTTAAATATGACAAAGGAAAACACTTTTTTCGTGTGTGAGGTAGAGTCTCACTCTCTCAGCAGGCTGGAGTGCAGTGGCGCAATCTCGGCTCACTTCAACCTCCACCTCCCGGGTTCAAGCAATTCTCCTGACTCAGCCTCCTGAGTAGCTGGGACTACAGGCGTGTGCCTCCATGCCCAGCTAATTTTTGTGTTTTTTTTGTAGAGACCATATTGGCCAGGATGGTCTCGATCTCTTGACCTTGTGATCTGCTTGCCTCAGCCTCCCAAAGTGCTGGGATTACAGGCATGAGCCACCAAACCCGGCCCAAGAAGACACTTTTTATTGACAAAAGGTTCAGTTCATCAAGAAGATACAACAATGCTACATTTGTATGGACCTAATAACACAGCCACCAAATAGATACAACAAAAATTTACAGAACTAAGAAGAAAAATGGAAAAAGCCACAGTCATTTTGGGAGACTAACACACTTCTCTCAGTTACTAACAAACACAAAAAATAAAAATAATATAAAAGATTTTAACCACACAATAAGAAACCAATAATGGCAGGATATACATTCTTCTCAAGTGCACATTGAGTATTTTACAAAACGACTGTATGTTTGGCCAGGAAATAATTGCCACCGAATTTCAAAGGACTGAAATCCTACAGAGTATGTTCTTTGACCACAGTGCAATTAAGCTAGAAATCATTACCAAAAAGATAATTAGGCAATTCCTATATATTTGAAAGTTAGGAAATACAGTTTCAAATAATACTTGGGTCAAAGAAGAAATCACAATAGAAATTAGAAAATATTTTGAACTGAATAAGGTGAATATTATATATCAAAAAGTGTGAGATGCAGCTAAAAATCATGCTTAGAGGGAAACATACAGCCTTAAGTACATTTTTTTTAAGCTTCCAGGAGTTAGGAATTTTTTATTTCAAGAAATTAGGAAAAGAACAGTAAGTTAAACCCCAAAGAAACAAAGAAGAAAATAAACATAAAAACAGAAATCAGTGAAATTAAAAAAATCAACATAAAAATAGGGAATTAAGGTCAAATATTGATTATCTGAAATGATTTATGACATTGATAAGGACTGACAAAAAGGAAAAAAAAAGATCACGAGGAAGTACAAATAACAGATGTCAGGAATAAAAAAGAATACTACTATGTATCTAATAAGTATTGTAAAAATCATAAGTAGATAAGACAAATTTCATGAAAAAATACAGTTTACCAACATTTACACAAGAAGAAATACTCAGAATGGTCCCATTAACTATTAAAGAAATTGAGTTCATGATTTAAATTTTATAGCTGGAGAAGTCTACATAACATTTAAGGAAAAAAATAATACCAACTTTCAATAAATACTTCCAGATAACAGGAAAAAAAAGAAACACTTCCTAACTAATTTTATGAGGACAGATAATCAAAACTTGACAAGAACATGACAAAAAAAAAAAAAAGAAAAGAAAAGAAAGAAAGAAATTACATGGCAATCTCACTCATGACCACTGATGGAAAATTCCCAAACAACACATTAGCAAGTCAAATCCTGCAATGTATAACCCCCAACCACCAAGTCTGGTTTATTCTAGGAATGCAAAGTTAGTTTAACATTAAAAAAACCAACCAATGTTTTCCACCACATTAATGGAATGAAAGAAGAAAATAAGTTATCTTCTAGATCCATACAGAAATAGCATTTCATAAAATTCAACATCCATTCATGTTAAAAACTCTCAGAAAGTCGTGTAGAAGGGAACTTCACCTGAGAGAGGATATCTGCACTAAAGCCTGAGACTTAATGGTAAACAGTTGAAAACTTTCTGAGATCAGGAATGAGATGAGGTTGGCCATATTGCCACTTCTATTCAACACCATCCTAGCTACTGTCCCAGCCAGTAAAATAAGGCAAGAAAAAGATATAAAATGCCCAAGGGTTAGACAAGAAGAAATAAAATTTTCATTATTTGTGGGTGACATGTATAGAAAATAAAAAAGAATCTAAATAATTACTAGAATAAGTGAGTTTTGTATGGTCACTGGATCAAGATACAAAAATCAACTGCATTTCTATCAGCAAGTAACAAGTGACAGAACAAAAAATTACCATTTATAAAAACATTCAAAAACTCAACTCCCTAGGAACAAATCTAGCAGAGATATGCAAAATCTCTACACAGAAAACTATAACACATTATGGGAGAAACTGAAGAAAACCAAAATAATTGGAAGGCTAACCATATAATGGCAAATGGATATGACAGAACAGAGTAGAATTTAGAAACAGATCCATACATATGTAGTTTTGACTTATGACAAAGATGGTACTTCAAGGTAGCAAAGAAAGGCAGTCTTTTCAATACATAGGCTTAGATAAATTCAATATCCACTTGGAAAAATAGTGAAACAACCCCTACCTTCACAACTTTCATAAAAATCAATTCCAAGGGGATCACAGGTTATAAAAAAGCAAAATGATAAAACTTAATACTAGAGAATAAAATACCTTCAAGACTTTGGTGAGGGAAATTCTTAAGTGGAACTCAAAAATCATTAGGAAAAGATCAACTTTACCACTGTCAAATTAATCAATGACTTGTGTTCCTCAAAAAACATCAAGTGGGACAAGGTATTTGTAACACATATAAACAAGGATTTACATTTAGCATATATATAAAGAATTTCTACAAATTAATGAGTTATATTTCTATAAAACAACTGAGATGAGAACATACTAAAATGTAACTATGTGTTTTATCAAGTCAGTCTTTATACTTCTTTCCAAAGCAATCCATACTTTTTATTGGATTTTTATTTATAATAATTTTTGTGTCTTTATAGGAATCCAGCTGATGGAAGAATTCAATTGGCCATTGCCATTGTAATCACACTTTTCTCATTTATCTCATGGGTCTACGTATCTGTTAACGAGGAAATGCGATCCTCCTGGCCAGCTCATTGCAAGACAGTAATTTAAATAAATTTAAGAATTTCGTTTTTAAAATAAGTGTTTTCAGTCAATTTTTTATAAACATTAGGGGAAGAAGCCAGTTTTCAGGAGTTTATGTCTGGTAATTTGGGCTAATAGAGTTTTTTAAAATTCCAAATAACTTTTTAAGGCTGCATACAATTTATTTGATATAAGATTGGATGGGACAAGTGAGAAACAGTCTGATATTTTCTGGAAGCCTTTCTGCATGGTCTTGTGTCATAATGTAGTGGAAAAAGCTAGAGAACAGAAGTTTAAATGCAAGTTCTAACTACTCACCTTTGTAACTATTTAATTTGGGCAAATATATAAACCAAGCGTCCCCAAACTACGGCCCGCGGACCGCATGCGGCCCCAAGGCCATTTATCTGGCCCCCCGCCGCACTTCAGGAAGGGGCACCTCTTTCATTGGTGGTCAGCGAGAGGAGCACAGTATGTGGCGGCCCTCCAACCATCTGAGGGACAGTGAACTGGCCCCCTGTGTAAAAAGTTTGGGGACGCCTGATATAAACCCTCTGGTGGGTATTTCTTTATCTATAAAATAGGATTAATGCCAGATCTACTTACAAAGTTGCAAGGATCAGTCTAGATAATGTAAGAGCACTCTGAAGATACAAAGTGTTCAGAAAGATTACAAAGGGCTGCAGGTGATTAAAGTAGAGGGGAGCAGGGATTGGGTAACATACTGAAATAGAGGATCAAGACAGGGTGACAGCCCCCCCCCCCTCTTTTTTTTAAAGACAGTCTCACTGTCACCCAGGCTGGAGTGCAGTGGCATGATCACAACTCACTGCAGTCTTGACCTCCCAGGGTTCAGGTGATCCTTCTACCTCAGCCTCCCCAGGAGCTAGGACTACAGGTGCGCACCACTAATTTTTTAAAATTTTTTGTGGATATGGGGCTTTGCCATGTTGCCCAGGCTGGTCTTGAACACCTGAGCTTAAGTGATCTGTCCACCTCAGCCTCCAAAGTGCTGAGATTACAGGCGTGAGCCACCGCGCCTGGCCCATAGTTTTTAAAAATTTTTTGTGGATATGGGGTTTTGCCATGTTGCCCAGGCTGGTCTTGAACACCTGAGCTCAAGCGATCCGTCCACCTCAGCCTCCAAGGTGCTGGGATTATAGGCATGAGCCACCCGCCTGGCCTGTATTACCAAAATCTTTCATACCTCCACATTTTTCTTCCATTGTTCTCTACTTCACACAGCTCAGAAAGCTCTAAGGGCTCCATACTATCTGGCAAGTTAAAGTCTTGGCTCATCATTCAAGGCTCTCCGTGATATGGCCGCAGCCTATCCTTTTCTGCCATACTTCTTGCCATGTCCCCTGCCTCCACCCTGGCACCTTTGTGGTGAATCGTCACAGCATGACTTGCCACCTCAAACTTCAGCATACCTTTTGATGCCTCTGCTTTTGCTGTTCTACTTGATAGATACACTCTTCTCCACTTATTCAAGCCATTTTTCTTCATTTTGCATGTCATCCCCAATCCCTTTGAACAAAATTAATCTTCCACGTTCCCTTGGTCCTTTGACCACAAATTTCACATATTTAAATCATGGATGTCTGTTTAATTCATGGTAAGGTCTATGAGTGCAGGAGTACATTATAGGCACCTCTGTGGTCAGCTGAACAACTATATCCACGTCCTAATCCCTGGAACCTATGTTACCTTCTATCACAAAATAAATTCTGCAGATGTGATTAAGCCATCCTGAGATGGGGGTTACCTGGATCATCTGGTTGGGTCCCAAAGGTTACTACAAGTGTCCTTGCAAGACAAAGGCTGAAGCAAATCTGACTACGGACAGTGGAGAATATGACATGACAGTAAAGACAGATTTGAAGATGAAACACTGTTGGCTCTGAATACGGAAGAAGGAGCTGTGGGCCACAGAATGCAAAAGTACAGCTCTGGAGGCTGGAAGAGGATTCTTTAGACCCTCCTCAGGGTGCATGGCCATGCCAACGCCTTGGTTTCAGCCAAGTGGAAATGATTTCAGACTTCTGACCTCCAGACTGCAAGAGAACAAATGTGTTGTTTTAAGCCACCAGGTTTGATTTCTAACAGCAGCCATAGAAAGCTAATACTCCTTTATACCCCTATAGTGCCCAGGTATTCAACTGGCACGCTTATTTCTTACCGTGTTTTAGGCGCTCCATCAATCTTTCTCCACACCTGAGTAGTCCCCATTTGCCATCTAGTGTTTCTGCACATAAGCCTTAGCACATATGAAAACGGTATTAGGCATCTCCCATTAGTGTACAAAGGGAGTCAGCGTAAATTCATTTACCTGCTATAGCTTCACCCAGCACTAGCTGGTGACCCAAAGAGGCCAAGCTGGCTGGCACACGGCTGCACTGCCACTTGGTCCTACGAATCACAAGAGGACAACATGACTTTTCTGAAGGCCCTTCTTACAGGGATGGAGCGCCACACACTCACCGTGAAATAACTGTTGGTAATTTTGTTTACAAAACGGGAATACAAGCCTATAAAAATCCACGTGTAGGTGTTCTGAGCAAAAATTCTCCAAAGCTCAGTTACACAGCAGGGTGAACAGAAAAAGTTTACCTGAGCTTATATGGTGAACCTGAAGTTACATAGTTAATAAACGTGAATACATTCTCCTTGTAAAAAGTTAAAAAATCAGGTTACGCCAAATAAAATCCTTCATGAGGACTATATGCACCTTATAAGGACTATACACCCCTGCTCAGTCTCCTCCCTAGTTTACTGTGTTTCTAACTTACAATGGATACGTTATCCAAAATGACATTTCTGAATACTTTATCAACCAACACACACTGCAACTATGAATACATTTTGTTATGCAAGCTGAATGCTAAACAATGAGACTGAGCATTTTTATTTTTTTGTTTGGGGGGGAACAAACACAAAGCTCATTTTCTATCACGTTAAACAAAACAGACTAACAATGGAAGGCTGTTGCTTTTTTTTCTTTTTGAGACGGGGTTTCACCATGTTGGCCAAGCTGGTCTCGAATTCCTGACCTCAGTTGATTCACCTACCTCGGCCTCCCAAAGTGCTGGGATTACAGGCGTGAGCCACCACTCCCAGCCTCTTTCTTGTAATTCATAATTCTGTCTGGAACTCTGCCTCTCCCTTTCAACAGCATTTTGTCAGGATAGACGTGAACTGTGCCAAAAGCTTGGCTGTCTGGAGCTGTTTCAATAACTCCTTCTAGGTTGACGTGGTATACACCAAAAGGATCCTCAGAGTAGCCACCATCATGGGTGTGACCAGCAAAGAAACACACCACACACTTGTGAGACCAAATGACTGTCAAGGCATCTCTGTAGTTCCAGGCCAGACACACACTGTCAGAGGCGTCAGGGTAAATGGGAAGATGGCCTGTTAGTTAAAGAAAAGAAGAGTTATGAGCCAATTAAGAAACCTCTCTTCTATAAAAATAAATGGCTAAAAGCTAGCATTCAGAAAAAGAAAAAAAAAAATGCTATCTCATTATGCAAATGAACTGAGACCAGAGGGAATTCACACCCATGAAAACACTAGGCCACCTACAGCCACATCTCTGAAGCATGGAAGAAGGGTGAGACAGTTCACATGACGTACGACAAGCTGCTGTAGAAGCAAAACCTCAACCTCTGAGACCTACGTCATCTCAAGTTGCCCAAACACCGAGGAAGACTGAGGGTGTCCTATGCAGGACAGTCTGCAGAGGCAGCCAGAAATAGGGCAGATGCTGTGCTGGAATCCAATCCCACTGATTGCCTTAAATGTGAATGAATGTTATATCCACAGAATTATGTAACATAAAATAAAAGAACAGGCCAGGTGCGGTGGCTCATGTCTGTAATCCCAACGCTTCCGGAGGCCAAGGCAGGCGGATCACCTGAGGTCAGGAGTTCAGGACCAGCCTGGACAACATGGTGAAACCCTGTCTCTACTAAAAATACAAAAATCAGCCAGGCGTGGTGGTAGGTATCCGTAGTCCCAGTTACTCAGGAGGCTGAGGCAGAAGAATTGCTTGAACCTGAGATGGTGTGGCTGCAGTGAGCCAAAATCACACCACCACACTCTAGCCTGGGTGGCAAAGTGAGATTCCATCTCGAAAAATAAAAATGTAAATATAAATGAATGAATGAATGAAAGAACAGTTTAGGGATGGACCCTGTGTCATTTATATAAACAATGTCTCAGAACTGATTTATGGGATGTATCAAGGTAGCCATACCCACTTTATAGATGAAAAACTGAGTTAAAACAAAGATTTATTCTGGCGTCCACAGGAAGTATATGGAAGCAGAGTTTCGAATTTCTAACGGCAACACATCTATGAGCCTATACCATACATCAGGCCATGGTGCTCACGCTGAAGTACGCTCACATTGCAGCTTCCCATTAAATCACTTTTTTTCTATTACTGTTCATTTTTATTCTAAAATTTAAACATGCTTCTGCTTAATATCTGTTTGTAATACAAGTTTTTTTTAAAAAAGTGCTTACATGCACTGATTAACACCTAACGGCTAAGCATCCAAAGGCATGTGAGTATCCGGAAGCCATACTGACTCATCTGTCAAGTCCCTGCAGCATTTGACACAATTAGTTGTTCCCTTCTCTCTGAAAAACTTGGCTCTCAAGACACCACTGCTTTTCCTGGTGGTGTCTTTCTACTTTTTTCCTAACTTCAATGGCCGCTAATTTCCATCGCCTTTCCTGGTTTCCTCTCATTTCCCCAAGGTCTTACCAGGAGTGCCTGAATGCTTGGTCCTTGGACTTCTCTTTTCATACCTAATGCGTTGGTGATCTCTTAGTGATTTACACGCCTTAAATGTTATCTAAATACTCTTTCAATTTCCACATTTATATAGCTAGCCCAAATCTCTATTCTGAATTTCAGACTTCTAATGTCTGAACTGCCCACCCAGCATCTCCAATGATGTCTAGTAAGCATCTGAAACTTACATTTCCAAACCTGTCCTCTCCACTCAAACCCCTCATCCTGCAGTGTCCTCTATCTCAGCTAATGGCAATTCTGTCCTTCCAAATGCACGGCCAAAATTCAAAAGGTAGGATGACCTCGAAGTAGCCACAATGAAAGTTAAGAAATCTATTACACTTTAACTTTTAAACTTTATGAAAGAAAACTTAAAGTATTCAGTTGTTAAGTTTGCTTTTCCAGTTTTTAAGCTTACAGCAAATAGTAGAAAAAACTTCAGAGATGCTAAATTAGATAGGTGTACTGCCATGAATAAAAAAAAGGGAAGAACCCAGCATCGCAGGGGAAAGGGGACTGAGACATAAAGCATGGATTCTAATCACAGTGCTGTCAGTAGCTACATGACTCTGCTATGCTTCAATCTCTTTGGCCTTCAATTTCTTTATCTTTAAAATTCAACAGTTTGGCTGTATGATCTCTAGTTCCCTTCAGCTCCAGTACAGGCTGGCAGTGGAAAACTTAAAAGCAGACACAAGAAGTATCCTAGTTTCTCAGATGACTTATTATAGAGCCAAAAGGAGTCACATCATTCCAACAATCCGAGGGCATGCATCTCCGCCAACCTTTAAATGACACTTGGTATTCCAATGGTAGCAGAAACATTTCTGCTCCATCTACATGTTTTTACCACATCAGTGGAAGATTAACAAGGAAAAACTACAGTTATAGATAGAAATATAGTTTTATCTAATCATCTCTCTGAATGCCCTGTCATTTTCAAAGGAGTTTCATATTCATAATTTCATTAGATACACTATTGAGAACACTGCCGTTTGTAGGTTCACTATTTGCCCAGGACCACACAGTTCATAAAAACAAGAGCCAGAATGGCATCCTGTCCTTCTGGCTCTCAGTCCAGCCTTCTAAACTATTATCCCACACCATCTAATTCTAAAACAAGGGCTCTAATCTCAACCTCCAAACCAAGTCTCCCAGCCATGCTGCAGATTCAAGTTCAGGTCTGTGTATGCGTTTTCACGCATGCACGCGCACATATGTACGTTTTAAGCACCCCTAGATTCCTACAATCTCTGATGGCAGTGTATCCACGAAAAACAATTCTAAAGGAAAATACTACAAATCTAACTTCCTTGTGACCATGTGGGAGACACAGCTAGAGAATGGGAAGTGCTCACTGCCAGCTGAGCCTGTACTACACATCCCCTGTGGTATCAGTTTTGCTGCATCTAGGCAGCAGTGGCCTCTGTTCGGTGGCCACTTTGCTGATAGGCTGGTCTCTAAGGCTGAGATTTGGTATGGGCCTGAACTGAATTTCTCACTTAGAAATTACTTCATCAGAGTTTAAGAAACTCAGGGCTTCCTACTTTGAGGAAAGGATCCAAACCCTGGTACTGACTTCCACTAATATTGTTTAGTGTGGTGTCTCCTTTATTAAGCTGATCGCAACCTGGATTCCACACACTAGAATTCAGCTTGTTTTTCTTGTTTTTGTTTTTTTGAGACAGGGTCTCGCTTTGTCACCCAGGCTGGAGTACAGTAGCATGATCTCGGCTCACTGCAACCTCTGCCTCCCAGTTCATGTGATTCTCCTGTCTCAGCCTCCCAAGTAGCTGGGACTACAGGCACGTGCCCTGCTAATTTTTTCATGTGTTTTTAGTAGAGATGGGGTTTCATCATGTTAGCCAGGCTGAATTCAACATGTTTTAATTTTGAGTCAAGTTTCTTGGCAATTTTTATGTCTTAGTTATCACGGTGAAGTCATTTCACCTTTTGGTTCTTGCTTCTCTTATGGAGAGAAGGTTTTAAAAAAAAAACTTAGAAAAAGCCAAACTTTTGGAGTTTTTATTTTTGTATTAATGTCAATATTATTTGTGATATTATACTAAAGTTTTACAAAATGTTAACATTGGAGGAAACGGGGCAAAACAGCTAAGTGATTGCTCTGAATTATTTCTTACAAATGCATGTGACTCTACAGTGATTTCAAAAATAATATCAATGTTTAAAAAAGAAGTTACTTCATAAACTGACCTCATTTGAGGAAATTCGACTTAGAAACTAAAGGGCCAACTCACAGGCTCCATATATGGCAAGATGTTTCTGTTATTTACGTTTCTTTCTTGGTTCATCCTTAAATGTTCATCTTACATTCAGGTGGTTTCTAAATAAAAATGCATTTAAAGTGTCCATTTTATAGAAGGAGGATATCGAAACACAAATATTGTTAGTATGCTTTAATGACTAACTTTTCCGAATCTCTAAAATGTTAGTGTAATCGGGTAATTTAAATACTTACTCACAATCACCACCTTCTCTTGGTTTGTATCAGAGAATGTAAGCACTTCATTCAACCAGTTTAGCTGTGCTTGGCTGAATCCTCCATTAAATTGGACAAACTGGGGCTCGGAAAGTCCTGAAATGAATTCAGTAATTTTAGACCCATCAAAAGTCATTTTTCCCCACATTTGGACATTCAAATTTAGTTAATGTAAGGATGCTTGTTTTTCTTTAGGAATATTTGATTAGCAACAATCAACTTAAAATAGGAAATCACAAGCATTTAGAAAAATATACTAATAAATCACACTGCCTCTCACTCCTAATCTTGACAGTCCCTGCTAACTTGGCTGGCTTTCCATTATATTAAAAATGCAAACTTCTTATTAAGTCCACTGAGCCACTACATATTCTTGGCCCTGTTTACACTCCAAAATCATCTTGTACCCCACTGGCCCTTTCCTGTACTCTTCAACAACGCTCTAGTCTTAGTCCATTTAGTGCCTTTGCATGTTTTTCCCTCTGTCTGCTAAATCCCTACGCCCATTCTTTCCAAGGAAGACTCCTCCTTGTCATTTAGGTCTTGGCTTAAATATCCTTCTCCTTGGAGACGCTTTCCCTGATCACCTAATCTAAAACAGTAACCCTAATCCTTTTTGATAACAGTCTATAACAGCATACTCTATTTCCTTGGTAGCACTTATGACCGTAGAAATAATCTTGTTTCTGTTTCATTTATCATCTGCCTTGCCCATTTACTGTTTGTTCCCTCCATTCCATCCATCAAAAAAGTGGTATTGTTAGTATTGCTTACAGCTCTGAATAGCAAGCCCTAGAAAAAGTGCCTGGCCTAGAACAGGCATTTAAAATATCTGTTTGATTTTCAATCTTGAATGAACTGTAACCAATCCATGTGAGAGCAGGCTTGTGAGAAATCCTGACCCTGAACAAGTGACAATATACTTTTACCTTAATTGTCCATCTTCCTGCTGAATAAAAGGTAGTTGAAGAATTTAAAGACAATCTATTAGATTCTCAGCTCAAAGGAATAATTCACCTTGAGGACTATTCAGTTCCGCATTTGGATTGTGCTCCTTCAATATCTTCATACACTGCTGGTATTTTGGAGAAGACTGATCCACACCCAAGACACTCAAGTCATATGCATCAAGTAAAATGAACCGGAATTTAGGGAATGGTACAAAATGATAAGCGTAGTAATCCTCTGAAGGCATGGTCTCGGGATGATGTTCAATCTGGTCTTCTAGAAACTTTGTGTTAAGTTTAGAGTGTGTTAAATACTCTCTCCTGAAGTTATAGAATTCATGGTTTCCCCATGTATGATGAACTGGAACTTTAAGCTTCTTGAATGTGTCCATAACAACTTCTAAGGACTTTTCCGATGCATCATACTGCGCATTATATCCATCGATTATATCACCAAGCTGAAGGACACAACAGGGTGTGCTGCTTTCCTTATTCCAGTCTTCAATGGCACCCTGCAAGTGAAGAAGACTATGTCTGTAGTATCGCCGCCTGGTTCCTTGGAAATTAAAGCCGTCTTCCAAGTCAGCATATTGAATATCTGCGATAACTCCAAAGGAGAAAAGATGCTCTGAATTCTCATTTAGGACTTCAGGATTGGGTTTATCATCCATAACCTCCTAACAGGTTTCTAAATAAACTAAAGTAAAAAAATAATAATAATAGTAACTAAATTATAAACATTTTAATTTCCCAATTTCACTGAAGAAAACGATAGAGAATATTAAACTTAAAGGTTAATTCATTAGGCAGCTTGATACAGGAAAAAGTACATGGGCTTTAGAGTCCAACAGTCTTTGGTATAAATTACTAAGCCTCTAAAATGCTTGTTTTCTCTTCTGTAAAACAGATGATAGTCTCTATCTTTCAGAATAGTAACAATTGATAAAAGGGTAGTATCCTATCAATAAACAGGGATTCTAATGCTAATAAAGCCAAATTTAAATCTGGAATAATTGCTGATTTTTGAGAAATACATACTCATTTTAAACACATACACAGACACAAAGCCCCTCTCCCACAAATACCAAATAATTCTATCAAAACTTTAAGATTTTTTTTTTTTTTTTGGAAAGCTATATATGACATTCATTCGTTGTATGTATGTTGTAAAAGATTCCTATGATGCATTATTTTGTGTCAGGATGAGTCTTTTCTCTTCCTTGGTGGGTAGGTCACCCAAAATAAGTTTCTCACAGTTTATATCTGAAGTAATGGATGAGGGGGACGCAATAAATTCTCCTGAGCTTAAAGCTAAATCAAATTCATTTTCTGTCACTTGATACCAAAAGCCTCTCAAATACACCTTCCACTGGAACATGGTTCAGTTTAGAAAAACTCAAAAGCTATCCTAAGAATTGTCCATTTTTAAGGAAAGTTAAGCAATGTGGAGAGAAGCACCAAGGGGCACACACTTCAAAACAGCAATTTGTTCTGGGGTAAAAAGAGAGACCCAAAGTGCTGAATACATACAGCTTTTAAAAGTAAAGTTAGGGGTAAGGAGGCAGCCATTTAGACAGGTTGAGTGTCCCTTTATCCAAAAAATGCTTGGGACCAGAAGTGTTTTGGATTTCGGATTTTTTCAGATTTTGGAATATACTTAATAGTTAAGCATTCCTTTTTTTTTTTTTTTTTTTTGAGATGGAGATTCACTCTTGTTGCCCAGGCTGGAGTGCAATGGTGCGAACTCAGCTCACTAAAACCTCTGCCTCCTGGGTTCAAGCAATTCTCCTGTCTCAGCCTCCAGAGTAGCTGGGATTATAGGGGTGTGCCACCACGCCCAGCTAATTTTGTATTTTTAGTAAAGACAGGTTTCTCCATGTTGGTCAGGCTGGTCTTGAACTCCCGACCTCAGGTGATCCGCCCACCTCAGCCTCACAAAGCGCTGGGATTACAGGTGTGAGCCACTGCGCCTGACCCAGTTGAATATTCCTGATCTGAAAATCCAAAATGCGAAATGCTCCAGTGAGCATTTCCTTTGAGCTTCATGTTGGTGCTCAAGTTTCTGACTTGGGGCGTTACAGCTTTCACAAACGTATTCAGGGACAGACAGTCAGGATCAGAAGTGAGTAAGGCAGGGCAAAAAGAACCAGGTGGGCAGGGAATTGACTCTCCTGGCTAGTTCAGCCTTTCCTTTCATGGTTCAGGGAGATGTTGGGGGAGCTCAGAAAGATTGGTCCTGGTGAACAGAGAGATCAAAAACTCAAAACCACCTCCAGCGAGGAACTTAGAATTAATAAGCATTCTAACGTCAGAAAATGTTTTCAAAATAGCCCCCTCCATCTACCAAATACAGACACAAAATGTATCAGTGAGTAGAAGATAATTGTCGAAGCTAGAAATTTTTTTTTGAGAATCACTTGAACCCGGGAAGTGGAGGTTTGCAGTGAGCTGAGATAGCCCCACTGCACTCTAGCCTGGGGAACAGTAAGACTCTGTCTCAAAAAAAAAAAAAAAAAATAGTTTGCAGTGTGGCATGGATAAAGTTTAGATAATTGTTGAAGCTGGGTGATGAGTACATCTGATTCACTATATTAATCTCTCTGCTTTTATATATATTTGAAAATTGAAGGGCCGGGCGTGGTAGCTCACGCCTGTAATCCCAGCACTTTGGGAGGCAGAGGCCATCCTGGTCAACATGGTGAAACCCCGTCTCTAATAAAAATACAAAAAATTAGCTGGGCATGGTGGCGTGTTCCTGTAATCCCAGCTACTCAGGAGGCTGAGGCAGGAGAATTGCCTGAACCCAGGAGGAAGAGGTTGCGGTGAGCTGAGATTGCGCCATTGCACTCCAGCCTGGGTAACAAGAGTGAAACTCCGTCTAAAAAAAAAAAAAAGAAAATTCAAAATAAAAAGTTAAAATCAAAAAATTAAAAATATTCATAAGAAGTTGTTGTTTTTCCTCCAACAATTGCCTTAAATTCTACTTTGTTGTTAAAATTGCAATACTGGATTTCATTTGGCTGGTGTTTATATTTTTATCTTTGGACTTTAAATCTTTCTATATCAGCACAGTTAAGCATTTTTGAGACTCCGTCTCAAAAAAAAAAATTCAAAAATTTAGAGAAAATCAAATCTGGAAAAATTAGAAGACCTAAGGAAATATTTTGCTTTTGAATAGAAAGGAGAATGGCAAGTTTTTCGTGAACTTTGTTTTCAAAGTTTGCCTGCACCCTTATATGCTACATTATCTAAGTTTTAAAGAGGTATTATGAAGCGCCAAAAGCTATGAAATTAAAGACCCAGAACTCAATTATAGTCCTCATGCTTCCTAGAGCAAACTAACCCTCAACAGGTTATTGTGAGATTCAACTGAGCTATGATCACAGTAAACTATTACTTTGTAAATCTCTGTAAACCATAAAGTACTATATGCGTGTTAAGAAAATAATTTTTAAGTTACATATCTGAAAATTGTCTGTCTAATGAGCCTCAGATAACTGAAAGTCCTGCAACATTTTTATAGAAGAGAATAATGTAGAAAACTTTTTATAAGAGTTTCTCTCAAAATTCCTGTCAAGTCATGGTACAGGATAAGCAGTCAGCATTTTGTGAAAACCACCTTAGGCATAAGAGATTTCTTTTTTTTTTTTTTTTCTGTGACAGGGTCTGGCTCCATTCCCCAGACTGGAGTACAGTAGCGGCATCATGGCTCACTGTAGCCTCAACTTCCTGGGTTCAAGTGACCTCCTAACTCAGCCTCCCTGATAGCTACAGTTGGCTTACAGGCATGTACCACCACACCTGGCTTTTTTGTTGTTTGTTTTTACAGATGGGGTTTCGCCATGTTGCCCAGGCTGGTCTCAAGCTTCTGGGCTCAAATGATGCATCTGCCTGAGGCCTCCCATACCCAGGGATGCTTAATTGCTGAAAAGCTGCTACAATATCATAGTAATAAAACTTTTATAATAAAGACTGGCAGAAGGCTGAAGTTCCTGGTGGAAAGCCTTCAAGCATCAATATGAACTTGTGAAAGAAGGTAGCTCTACCCTGAAATACGGATGTTTCCTTCACTCTACTGTCAAAGGTGAAGGGGGCAGCAGGGGAAGTCCAGAGATTAAAAGAGACTTTGTTGAGAGAAACTATTGTAACAGAGGCTCCTAGCCTAAGGGTGCAGGAAGGGTGAGCAAGCCTTTTATAAGCAGAGACTATACAAAGAGAAAAGGAAAGTTGGGGCTGGAAATGTCTGTGGTTAGGGGTTAGGCACAAGGGGCAAGGATCTGGAACAAAAATGAAGCAAACACATTACGGTGCTGAGAAGTTCACAAAAAATTAGCCGGGTGTGGTGGTGAATGCCTTGTAATCCCAGCTACTTGGGAGGCTGAGGCAGGAGAATCTCTGGAATCCAGGAGGCGGAAGTTGCAGCGAACCGAGATGGCGCCACTGCACTCCAGCCTGGGCAAAAAGAGCAAAACCGAGGTAGTGGCGGGGAGGGAGTGATTAATATTGCGGATATTGAGACACAAACAAAGGCAGACGGAATGAAGTTAGACTTTCACCAAGAACGAAAAACCTACGAATGCTCTTAGCCTCATTCATATGGGGATGTACCCACGTAACATAAGCAGTTCCAGATGAGGAACCCATCCACAAACTTCAGATCTCGAAGGGAGCAAGGTAGTCCGTGAGAGTATTTTAAGACACTGGGTCCCAGCAAGACTTAAGTTAAGGGATGGGGTATCGTGCCGTCTACACTTCTTTATACACTGCTCTGCTTTATTAATCAGGTTACATTGTGATATTACATGACTAGAAGTGCTGGGCATTTAAAGTCTTCCAGGCCACCCTAACTCCTCAAATCATCCTAATTAGCAATTTTTTTTTTTAAGTTAAAAATGGGAGTTCCAATGAGTCGGTTTCTGTTATCAAGGATGCAAAGGAGGTAGCAATCTTCCACTTCCCCTTGGCCGGCAGGGCGAGGTTGAAAAAGCTGGCCAGACAAGGTAGGGTTAAGGGGGCTGCCCGGTCCCGCCGGCCTCTAGGCAGTGTTTTCTGAGCTGGGGGTGTCCCCGGGGCGAGAAGCCAGCTGCGCTCAAAACCCCGCGAATGAGGCGGGGCGCCCCCAGCGCTCGGGGCTGCCTGGCCTCGGCCCAGCCGCGCAGCCCGGACCCCTAAGGCCACCCCCTTCCCGGGGCTCCGCGGTCCCACGGTCCCGCGGCCCCATAGCACCGCCCAGCCCGCGCCAGACCCGCCTCCAGCCGCAAGAGAACTACCTACCGTGCGTCGGCCCCAAGGCTGAAAAGGCCCTTGACTACCAGCTATGCCACCGCGCCACCATCGAGCGGGACGGACAGAGCGGCTCCTTCCGACTTCCGGAGGAAGCGGAACTTTACCGGAAGTCGCGGGGCGGGTCAAAGGAGACCCGTCTCCGAGGCTCGTGGCGATGCCGGTCCTAGTCCCCGGACGAGTTCTGTGGCCTCTGGGTGGCCAGTGTTGGCGCCTCTTGCCTCGGAGTTTCGAGCTCTGGGGCCCAGCCGAGGGGACTGCGAGAGTCTTTCTCAGGCAGTTCTGCGCGCAGCAAGAGGCGGCGTGGCGGGCCTCGGGGCTTCCTGGCTACTCCCTGGGAAGTCGGCCTCTCTGCACGGCGACGCCGCCACCCCCAGGGTCGTCCAGGCCCGAGCAGAAGCGCCACGGAGACCCCTGGCGCCCCTCGAAGCCCGGGGTGAGTGCATAACCCTTCCGGTGCTTGTCGCGGCTGTCGCCAGCCTAGCGGCCACATCTCACTTAGTCGTAACCTCAGACACTCCCTCGCCTCCCCTAAAGTTGTCCTCAGCTTGGTCGGGTTACCTGGGTCAAGGAATCTCATCCCGTATTTTGCCGGGAGTCCCAGTCCTCAAGAGAGAACTTGAGAACTTACACGCTCTCCACGTGGCTAGGTGCCCGGACTTGGATTTTATGTTAGCTTTTCCGCCAAAAAATTAAGTTTTGGGTTTTCTTAAGGGTGTGAACCTGAAGTTTACCGTGATTGAGGAGTCAGAACACTTATATAATTTGTCATCTGAACCCCCTCCAGAGGTTCCATGTATACATTGAAATTGAAACAAAAAGTGGAACTTAGTTATGTGTGGATATGCCTTTTCGGGGGGCGGTTTCTCTCGAATTCTAGTTCTGACCCAGAAAGAATTTGAGAGCCACTATCCTCTGTTAAGAGAAGTGGGTTTTCGGAGCTGCGGGAAGGTTAATGAGTTAGGCGTAGTTCCCCAACATCTTCCTTATTTGGGGACTTGAATAAGAGTACAAAGAATTAATGGGTGTGCAAGAAGCTCCACTTTTACATGCCCCTTCTAGTTTGGCTTTGTTACTTCTGGAAGTCAGAGTTAGATTAACCTCCCAAATTTGGTGTAGTTTATTTGTATTCTCAGTTATCAGCACAAGCAGATAATTATTTTTGTTGTTGGTTTGTTTTGTTTAGGTGGTTTTTTGTTTTTGTTTTTTGTTTTTTGTTTTGAGATGGAGGTTGCTCTGTTGCCCAGGCTGGAGTGTAGTGGGGGCGACCTTGGCTCACTGCAACCTCTGCCTCCAGAGTTCAAGTTACTCTCCTGTCTCAGCCTCCCGTGTAGCTGGGTTTATAGGCGCCCGCTATCACGCCCGGCTAATTTTTATATTTTTAGTAGAGACGGGGTTTCACCGTGTTGGGCAGGCTGGTCTATTAGCTCCCGACCTCAGGTGATCCACCCACTTCGGCCTCCAAAAGTGCCGGGATTACAGGCGTGACTTACCGCGTCCTGTTTTTAATGTTTTTAAATCACGATTGGAGCCAGGGTAACACATTGTCACAATTATGGTGCTTGAGCTTTTGCGGGGTGTTTTTTTTACGCGAAGAGAAACTGACTTAGGGAACTTTCCTCTGGAGATGAGGGCCTTTGTAATTCAGATTTCAGATGAAACTGCATCCACAGAAACTTTGGGCATTTTCTCATCCCTGAAGCATTTTGCATATTTAACATCATGGCCTGTGTATATGTGTATTAAAAACCACTGTCATAAGTTTATATGGTTAAATGTTTGCATCTTACTAGAATTTTTATTTTTGAAATCCCTGCCCCAGTAGCCTGTTTCCTGGAAGTCTTTAGCAATTACATTTGCTGTTGGAGGAGCTTTACTGGCGGGAATGAAGTACATCAAGAAAAAAAAGGCAGAGGGTAAGTAGATATCATCTGGTCAGCGCTGCATAAAGTTCTTCCTGGCTACGGACTACCACCTTTTTTGTTGTTTTTAAGCTTTTTTTGAGACAACTTTAGATTTACCAAAAAATTGCAAAGATAGCATAGATTCCATTTACCTTTCACCTAGCTTCCCCTAATATTAACACCTTACATAACTAAGAAATTTAAAATGGCACCCAACTATTAATTACATTACAGATTCTATTTGTATTTCACTTGTTTTTCTGTCAGTGTCTTTTATCTGTTCCAGGATCCAAGCTAGGCTACCACTGCCTAACAATATTAAAAGATACACAGTGGACAGATTTGAGTGGACAAGGTGAAGTCTAGAGGGTACAAAGATGACTAAGATGCAGTCGAGTCTTTGAGGTGCACATGGCAGGAAAACAGACAAAGAAGTAAAGGATTTTGCTAGATGTGATTCGGCCAGGCCAGAAGGAAGCTTAGCATGTTCTGAGAGCAAAAGGAAGCCCCAGGCTTGGGATTTGAGAAGGCTTCCTAGGGATGAGGCGAGGAGCATAGTGTGCGTAGGTACTGCATACACCCTGTTAATAAAGGGGAGGTGAAGAGAGCCTGATCAGGAAATGCCAGGAACTGCTCTGGATTAGCATCTTGAAATATTTAGAAATTGTTTATAAGAACTTTATATTTTAGTGACTATCCTAGGACTTTTAAGATTTGGTTTAGAAGCTTTTAGGTAAATCTTTATTGTTTAAATATTTCTGTTCTTTGGAGTCTCTAATTAGCAGTAAGTTCCTTTAGTTTCACAGAGAAACAAAAGCTAAGAAATTTGTGGCGGGAAAATTTTAGAATATAGAAGGTTTTTTGTTTTTTTTTTTACTTTAGTTTGGAATTTCAAGTGCCATGTTAACATTTGTTTTATTGAAAAAATGTATTATGAAATAATCTTTAAAGTCTTCCTAAATAATTCAAGAGTGTTTATTTACTGACATGTTGCCTCATCAGCTCCAAATACTTTTTGCTGTATTTCCTACAAACAAGGACCTTCTCCAAAATAACCACAATACAACCATCAAAATCAGAAAATTAACACTGATATTTTACTACTGTTCAGTCTTCAGACAGTCTTCAGGTTTTGGTTAGAGTTCAGTTTTCCAGGTTTTGCTACTTCATGTCTTTCACAGCAGAAGGATCCATTTCAGAACCATATACCTTGTACCCAGTTGTTAGCTCCTTGGTTTCTTCCCAGGCTTTAGCAATTTCCCAGGCTTTAACTGACTCCCATGACCTTGATAGCTTTGACAGTTACAGGAGAGTTATTTTGTAGAATGCCCTTAGTTTGGATTTGTCTGATGTTTCCTCATTCAGGTCATTCAGGTTGTGTACCTTTGGCAGGAGCATCACAAAAGTGATGCTGTGTTCTCCTAGCGTCTGGTCACACACCACATAGTACCAGTTGTCCTGTTACTGATAATGCTCAGTTTGATCACTTGACTAATATGTGTCTAACAGGTTTTGTACTGAAAAGTTACTCATGTAATTAATGCTCTTTTGTGATTTGTATTTATATGCGTATACTTACATATTCTGTTCTCCATCAAACTCTGTCCATTTATTTATATCTATGGACTTGTTTGCTATGTGTTCATTTAGTTTTAATCCATATTCTTTTTATTTTGATGCTCAAGTTGTCCCAGATTGACTCGTGGGAGCCCCTTTGTGCAGGCTTTGTGTTTCCAGTGTTCTCTGAGTTTTGCTTTCCTTTTGCCACAAGAGGTTCTAGCCTCATTTTACACTTTCTTTGCCGCAACCCTGATGTCAGCCATTTCTCCAAACAGCTGTTTCCTTTTAGTGAAGAATGATATTTAGAAGTCAGGTTCTAGGCTCATGGTTCTTGGTGTATGTCTGCTCCGTGTCCTCTCAGTGGACATGGTGAGAAAATAGATGTATTTATGTACATCTTTATTTCTTTTATATGTATATCTATATAGCTAGAAGCTCACACTAGCACCTCCAGTTTATTTCCAGTACTAGTTGACTCCCTTGCCTATTGTAACTCTTTTGTCTTTAATAAATTCATGTATTTCATCAATTTCATATGTGTAACTAAGGTCCCATCACCACTGTCCTCTCCTCATGCAGTTGACCACCTCAGCACCCTCAGGACCAGACTCCCTGTGCCCTGCCACCCACTGCACCCTGCTTGGGTTCAGACATTCAGCTCCAGGCCGCTGTGGCTCCTCCCTGCCCCCAGCGTGGACACCTAATGGCTTAGGAGTCAACTGTTGCTGAAAAAGAAGAAATTTTTTTACAACATGCCATAGCATTTCATTTGATTTTATTGTGATGTTTTGTGCTTATTTTTCTGAAAAGATTTTTTTAGCTTGAAAACTGAAACTATTTTTTCCACATTTTATGCCCCCAATGTGACTAGCATAGTACTAGCCATATGTCAGGTATTTGAGTACCTCTGGTTAAACTGACTCTTTTTTTGGTGTGTCTGTTTGTGTCTCTTTAAGAGGTAGAAAAGGAAATGAACCGACACATCGGCAAGCCTTTGCTCGGGGGACCGTTTTCCCTCACAACTCATACCGGGGAGCCTAAAACTGACAAGGACTACCTGGGTCAGTGGATATTGATTTATTTTGGCTTTACTCATTGCCCTGATATCTGTCCAGAAGAACTAGAAAAGATGATTCACGTTGTGGATGAAATAGGTAAGAAAGCCATCACTCACTATACAAAGTATATGTTTGCTTAGTGTTGCTATGTTTTTCACATTCTTGTATTATTGTTAGGTGGGGTTTTGCAATTACGTGATTTGTAAGAACATAAAATCTCAGCATTTGGCTTGTTTGGCATAATTGGTGGTATTGATAAGATTTCCATAGTCTAATAAGCAGTAAATTCCATTAGTTTGAATCCTGTGACCTTATTCTCCACCGAAGGAAGCTTGATCTAACATTTGTTAGATCACTTAAAAAAATGTCAGCCTGGTCTCCCTTACCTCTGCTTCTGTGTCCCTTCCTTTATGGTAGCCTTGCATCACTGACACTGCCATTACCTCTTCCCCAGTGACTGACAATTAGATTAGGAACCTTTGCAATGGTCTGCAGTCTGTGGCATTTTACTAGTACTAGTAAGGAGGAAGGGTGCCTCCTCCATAA